TGTAACACTGAATCCTTCCACCACACACCCACTGGGAACTGGGTTTTGAGCTTCAATTTTATTTTTTTTTCTCAATAGTCTGAGTGCTGTTCCTTTAAGAGTTTGCCTTCCCCTTTGTTAAGCTTAGTTAATCAGCCTAATGATGGATTGAACAAAGCAGACCACATAAGTCTAGTCATGAATACCTGGCTCTTAATTACTGATGACATTAGAGTAGGACAGAAATCTTTACTGTGGGATAGCATACATATGGCAAGAGGAATCCCTATGTTGCAAAGTACGTTCAGGACAGTGGCACTTCTAGTTTTCCCTGAAGAACAGTAACGTGGAAACAAGTAACCCTCAGCTTGGTTGATCACTTTTTTGAAATGAAGATTCTGTAACTCCAGATTCAGTTGCAGAAGCATTTTCAGAGATGGTACTCAATGTACGCGTTATGTCCTAAAAGGATACTTCTGACAGCTTATCTCAAACTACTTTTCAGAAGCCCCATTTCCTATTATTATTGCTAATTCTAAAGCTTCTCTAGCTTCTATAACTATATTTTCTTCAGATTTTTCAAGAACTAAAGACAGACCTATCACAGCTGCTGCTGTTGGTTCCCACGTACAGTAGCTGTTTATTTTTTACAAACACCCAACAGCACACTCCCAATTCAAAATTCTCATAAAGTTTTGTGATAAAGGATGTTTGAAAACAAAAGAGCACGTCCAAACATTTCACATGTACTATAAGAGAGTCAGCTCCTGATCTGTATGTTGTATTTTGGATACTGAAAGTCTAGATTTAAAAGTCTGATCACATACATCCTAAAAAAGACCCCAACAAAACCAAAAACCAGCCCGACTTTTTTCCCCTCAAAAAGAATCAATTAGTAAAATCCCTGTTATAATATAGCTGGGCTTTCTATTACCTTTTGAAACGACAGGGTTTATGCTCACACTGACAGAAACAGCATTTAAACATCAAAATCTATCAAGTTCTTAGCAACACAGCTCACCTCATTCATAAAGCAGTAGCTATTTTTCACACAGGCAGCTCCCAGCTGTGAAGCCTGGTTTCAGCTGCAGCTGTGGATGAATAAGCCATTACCAGAAGAGAGGAAGAAGAGTATCTTGCTTCTGTGCAGTTCTTGAGAAAAAGATCTAAATTGCTTGCTTAAGGGGAAAGGTCAGAGTTCAAACAAACTTATAACTACTACTGTGCCTTCATTTCCCGAGACTATGCAGGCTGTAGGGACAGAGCTCAGGGTGTCCTCATCCCAGGGATCTAAATTAGATGGCAGTTCTCACTAAAAGGCTTACCTGACTGATCTCCCAGCCAGCGTAAGGTCCTTCTCAATCACATGCATTGCACACAATTACAGAAGCTCATTCACAGAAGACATTTATCTTTGCCTGTTATTAGGGACAGAACTGAATATCCATACTGAGCGTGCCAGAATTTAGAGTCAAGAGTCTGTCACCTCATGTCTACAAATAGCAGATATCTCAAATTTGGGCTACAGGGCTTACTTTCTTCAGCAGTAGAATATGAAATCCCTTGACCCTATTTGTCAGGCAGACCAGAAGGTCTTAGTGATACGAGGCTAGAGATGCAAGGGAACCCAGCCCTGCTTTTAACAGTTTTCAGAATTGTCTTTAAGTGGACAATTTTGGATGCTGTCAAGCGTCTAAAGGGAACGACACCAGAGAACCTGACATTCAGAACATCACCCCAAACGATCTTATAAGCTTCTTTGGTTAATATGCTTGACAAAGTTATTGAACACTTTTAACACGGAAAGCCACTCATATCTTGAAATTTGTCAAAATTAATGATTTGGCATATTGAAGACTGCAAATTATCTTGAGGGTAGGGATCACTCTGAGAAAGCTTTTGTTGCAAACAAAGCCACTATAAATCCGTGAACTGACTAGGCAAAAAATGGCAGTAGGAGTCATTCAGCATCTCTCAAATGACATGCCCTATTCAGGACAGTTGTGTTCTGCATTAAATAAACTTACTTAGGCTAGTCTCTTTGCTGAAGTCTGTCAACTGCTTCTTCTAGTGGGTGTAAGAAACCATCTTGCTTTTTATACACTTTTGAGACTTGAAAGTGCTTTAACTAAAAAAGCAACTCTAAATATTAGTGGAATAAATTTACAAATAAGCAAAGGTTGAGACGTGTCCTTTGAAACCACATATCGTTCTCTTGACCCAAGAACCACTTATTGCAAGTCTGAGGTGGTACAGCTTAAAAAGACTGCATTAATTTTACATTCATGTAAGGCATTCTGTGAGATATAGATAATCACACCTGCATATATAAGGTTGCTGATGGAACAAACTATGCAATTGCTCTTTGTAAGTAGATACATGATCCATTCTGCCTGCCTCTAAAACTAAAGCTTACTGCTCCACTGGTGGTGCGAGTATCTTGTTTACATGGGGTAAATGCCACTGATGCCTTGCTTTCTAAAAGAGCAGCACATTCAGAGAATACTTGGGTGCAGTGCGCTGTAGTCACGTGAGGCAGACAGTTTTACTTCAGCTGTTTACTGCCAACAGATTTGGCTTAATAAAAGCAAAACAAAAAAACCAAATCCAAAACCAAACCACCACCACCTGACAAACACATTGATCATACATCACATTAGAAGTACATGGTTAGGTAGTTCCAAGAAAGGAATTGTTTTACAGTCCCATATCTTTCCTCTACAGTATCTCTCATCATACCAAAACAGGCAGTTCCCTAAACTGCCTCTAACAAGTACAGTTAGGAACTGGCTTTTGGCAAAATAAGTAAATAATGTATAGCACTTGGCATTCAAGTCAGAATATTTTGTGAGGATTAGGAGTCAGGAAAAAATTCTCTTTGGAGCTCCTGCTCCCCGTTTATACACATCTCTAATATTCAGTTAATGGAGATTAAACAGATATCGCAAGTTTAATTAGCTTTGCTGTAGCTATGAGAAGAAACTAATTTCACAGTTGCATGGGGGCAATGCATCTGTGCAGTACAATGGTTTCAGTACAGCGTATATTTTCTTACCTGCAAACACTGCAGAATAAACCCTGTTCAGCTCATGC